ATACTTGTATAGGCAAACTATCTAACTGCATTGGGTTAGTACAAATAATGCTACATTTAAAATGTTATTTGTCTTGGGGTTCAAAAGTCCATTCACTGTGGGGGGATGTATACCTCTTACTTCATTCCAAAGTATATATGTAAGTTAAAAACTAATAGATGATATATAAGTGTTTACTATGGAGCCCTGGTTTTGACATGGATTAAGAGTTTGGACTGTTAACCTCAAGGTCAGAGGTACAAACCCATTAGCTGCCTGTTATGACTTTATAGTCTTGGAAACTGTAGAGCAGTTCTCCTGTGTCCTATCCAGTGCTTATACGTCTACCTCTACTTGATGGTGAGTTTTAAAGTGTTTCTAAAGTGATTGCACAATTTATAGTTCCTCTAGAAAAATAATCTTCAGTTTATAATAGTTCTTAATATAGCCCATTTACAATGTTTCCAGATGCTTTAATTAGCATAATCATCTTTAAGGTTAACTGATTTGTCATTCTCCTTGAGAGCCGAACAGTAAAGAATTGATAGTTCTGTATGTTGTGAGGTAGGTGTCCAGCATTTTTTGTTTCTTCTTTTCGACATGTATATTTGATTGTCCAATCTCTATTTATTATAAAGTCTTCTTTTCCTCACATCTCTGAACATCATGAGTTTTAGATTTTAGTACCCAGGGTATAAACAAGTTTTTCGTCACTCAAAAAGGGGATTGATAACAGTATTGAGGACTTTGTGTTAAGAAGAGGGATAGGAGGGCAGGAAAACCGCCACTCTGCCCATCTTGTCACATGTATACCCCAATCCCTCCTCTTCCTATTGCATGTAAATCCCTAGATTGTCCCCCTCATTGCTGTATAACCTATAGTGCAACCCCTTCCTGTGATGTATATCTTTATCTGTAATTAGTGGGCTTGGACTCCCCCAAAGATATATAAGCCTTGGTTAGCAATAAAGATCCCCCTTGGCCTTTCTCCGCTCCCCTGTTCCCTTTCCCCTTGTCATCCTTCCCCTACCACTCTCTCCTGCCCTCTGGTTTCCCATCTCCACATGAACCACCAAGTGAGGCTTAGGTGAGCATGCTACTATGGAAAAAAAAAAAGAGGGATATGAAGAGTAACAGTATCTGGACCTACAGGTGATAGATTACTCACATTGTTTTCTCCCATAAGCCTGCAGGTTTTGAATCACCAGCAGCTTGGAAGGAGAAAGTGCTGGGTTGACTTCATGAGAAATTGAAATTTGCGAACATCATTAGAGCTTATCCAGATAAGACAAAAATAGAGCATCCCGGTTGCCGAAAGTATCCTAAGGACCAAAGAAAATGACCAATGTTCAGGTGATTTAGATGTGTTTTATCCTTTTCTGTATTTCCTACTGGAATTCTAGAAGCATGAATAATACTGATTTAGTTCATTAGAAATTGGAAATTTGAAATAGTACAAGTTAAAGATAAATTTAGACTCTGACGTCAGCATTGGGCTGGAGAAGATTAGGACTATATTGATGATAGGACTAACACCAAACTGTTGACATTGAACATAGGAAGTCCCTGAGGATTCTTTGGATGCCATTAGCTTTCAACTCATAATTCATTACTCTATGGCCAACCCATGAGAATCATTCAAATTAAACACTATGCCTAGATTCTTTTTAATATGTTATTGGGGGCTCTTACAGCTCTTAGGACAATCTATACATCAGTTGTATCAAGCATATTTGTACATATGTTGCCATCATTATTTTCTAGACATTTTCTGTTGAGCCCTTGGTGTTGGC